GACAGGAGGATCCCAAGCTCAAACCTAACCAAGGCATAGAATGAGACTGTCTTAAAAAAAGAGCCAGGCGTGTTGTGTGCCTGTGATCCTACCTTGGAACCTGAGGCAAGAAGACTCTGAGACAGTGAGAAGCTCTGTGTTTAAAAAAAGATGAGAGGAGTGGACCAGTGGAGGGTGTAATGGTTATATCGCTGGACTCTCATGCAATCTACCATGGTTTGAGTCCTGTATTCAGTGGCTTAAAACTCAGGCTGGGCATGTGAACATGTTTGCCCAAGATCATGAGAGAAGAATGAAGGAGAAGGGATTGTGGGGTGGCCATCCTCCGGGGGGAGGGGGGGATTTCTCACTTTCTGTCTCTCTGGAAAGGGCACGTGCCATATAGCATAAATCTCTCTTAAAACAAAAAAGGTGAAAAGATGGGTCTAATTAACAAATTCCTTTGGATGGATTAACACATTAAGCTATTCAGTATTATAGTCCTTAGAAATTAGAGACCTTAAGATAGAGGTGGCATGGTGGTTAAGGTACTGGATTACCACATGGTCAACCACATTTCAAATCCTGGACCTGGCAGTTTGGAAATGACGCTAGGCACATGTGCATGTCTGCTCAAAATCCCAAGTGAATGGAAGAGAAGGGACTGCCACAAGGTCATCCCCTTACAATGGGTGATTTCCCATTTTCTCTCCCTGTGTCTCTCTCCAGTGAGTGCCCTATGGCAAAATCCTAAAAAAGAAATAAAATTAAAAAAAAAATCGGGGACCCAACAGAAATATTAAAGTTAATTTAACTACAAATAATCCTTTAAGCTATTAAAAGAATTTTACTTTTAGCATTTTCTCTGTTATTGTAATATATATAACATATAACTATATTTATGTCATTTTTTAAAATCCAAGGAAAGAATTGATAGTATATGATCCCAAGCATAATATCTTGTGTTTGAGTAGCCTACTAAATCAGTATATACCATTTTTTTCCTAGCACAGGCCTTAAAAGTAAATAAGGTATTGACTTCAAGTTGCATTCAATCTTTCAGCCAGCCAAGATGTCTGATAACGAAACAGTGCTCCAGGGCAATAAACTGTACCCAAGTTGCTCATTTTTTACTATCAATTTGTCGGTTTCCTTGAGAAAACCCGAGGACGTTTGCCTGTAGATATCAAGGAGCAAGATACTCTTTTAAAATATTTCCATACTAAAAATGTTAAGAAATATTAAAAGATACTGAATTTCAGGTCAGAAGATTTATGTGTCCTAAATTTACTGAACTTTAAATCAGAGACCTTGATTTGAGAAGAATCTGAGTTTTAGTTTATCCACATAAAGGATGGTAAGGGTCCTCCCATAGTTTCCAGTATTTCAGACAAAAATGCTTTAATCTATAATCTGAAATGCTATAGTCTCCTACAAGTCTTCAGGAAAACTGAGGTTGCAGAGAAGAGACAGTCTTAGAAACTACCTAGAGAGGGGAATGACAGAGCATCAAGGCCCTGCTATACCAATATCACCTCTACTTTCATGTCTTTTATTTATTGAACCGTAGGCTAAGATTAATATAGGCAAACTCTTTCATAATTTCCTTAAAAAAAAGTGTGAAAAGGGACCAGCAGATGGTGTAATTGTTACATTGCTGGACTCCCACATAGTTTGAGTCTGAGACCCAGTGACTTAAAACTCATACAAGGCGCATGTGCACGTGTACCCAAGATCCTGAGAAGAGAATGGAGGAGAAAGGATTGCGGCATGGCCATCACCCCTGGAGGTGATTTCTCACTTTCTGTCTGTCTTTCTGTCTCTCTGGTGCATACATGTGCCCTATAGCAAAAATCTCTCTAAAAAAAAAAAGTATGAAAGGCACACTAGCAAAATAAAATTATTTTTAATAATTCTGCATCAACTAAAAATGTTATATGATTATAAGTAATGAATTACATTTATAAATCATATATTTCAGAAATCTAACCCCTTTGATGCTTTATCTATCCTAACTATTCTTTTTATTTTTTAATTAATTTATTTACTTACCTACTTATTTGTTGTGATTTTCAGGGTGCTGGGTCCAGGACTTGAACCACGGTTGGCCATGTGGAAATGCAGCACTTCAAACACCACACTGCTGCTGGCCCCTATCCTACCTATTCTAATACAGCACACTAGATGTATAACACAAACACCCTAGATGTTTTCTCTTGCATATTTTATGCATTCAAAAATTAAGGCTTCTAGCCAAGACAGGTGACAAAACCAGAAATGACATTTTTATTGCCTGTCCTATTAATGTCTATTAATACTTGAAATCTAAATATTGTTCCACATATTTAAAATTAAATCTCCTTAATTCACATCATTAAGGAAATGTGTTGACATATACTATTCCCCCTTCCGCACCCTTCAGCTGTCATAAAAAGAAAATTTAGAGAAAGAACTGGATGCCATTAATATTTCTTAAAATTTACAGCAGCATTTCTAAACACCATTGAAAATCTTTGTCCCCAAGTAACATGAGGTTACTAAACCTTGTCTCTAAAGGTTCTCTGTAGCCATTAGAAAAATAATACCCAGCTACTCTGTATGGTTCTTAAAACCTTCTATTATGGGGACCAGCAGATGACATAATGGTTATGTCACTGGACTCCCACGTAGTTAACTACGGTTTGAGTCCCAGACCCCATGGCTTAAAACTCACGCCGTGTGTGTGTGTGTGTGTGTGTGTGTGTGTGTGTGTATGTGTACCAAAAATCCCAAGAGGAGGATGGAAGAGAAGGGATTGCACATGACCATCCCCCTGGAGGAGTGAGTTCTCACTTTCTGTCTCTCTGGCAAGCGTACATTTCCTATAGCAAAACTCTCTCAAAAAAAAAAAAAAAAGAATAAATAAAAACCTTCCATGATGTATCTCAATCTTCTTAAGGCTCCCATTTAAGTTTCCACCTTTCTGCTACGAAGTTTTATTCTATTCAAGATCCAGTTCAAAGGTCACCTCTACCACAAAGATTTCCTCCATGGGGTGATTTCTTAGTTTCCCACTCACTGTCTCTGTCTCTCTTTGGCAAGGACATGTGCCGTGTGACAAAAATCTCTTTAAAAAAAGAGAAACTATTCCCCCTGGAAGGATATCCTGGGTAGTAAACTCACTTGTTACTAGGTGCTGCCTTGTGGTACTGCTTCTGCCCTGTTGGAGCCCTAGCAGCCCACCTCTCTGAGCAGTCCTCCCACCGATCGCTGAAACCCCAGCAGTTAGTACCAGGGCCTGCAAAGGGTGGTGCTGTTAATAATGTGCAAAGTTTTAAGGATTTGATTTTTTTTAATTGCTTTGAATTTGTTGCACAGCCTGTCCTATGGGAAAAAAAATAAAAATAAACAAACACATCTTCCCCACTTGAGCAGATTTTTCTTTTTTCTGTGTCTCCTACCAGACGCTGCTGAGCAATTAGCGGGAAAATACTCTTTGAACACCTCCGCTGTGCCAGCCCCTGGCTCAGCACTGAGAACAAGGTGAACCACACGGAAATAGTGTCAGTCATCACTGAACTGAAACTTTGGTGAAGAAATTACAGAGAAAATGAAAAATCAGGACCAGAAAGAGGATTGGTGTTTAAGGCAGTGGATCCCACACAACTGACTGTGTGGCTTGAGATCCGGACCCAGTAGCTTGAAAAACATGCCAGGCGCATGTGTGTGCCCAGAATCTCAAGAGGAGAGTGAGGGAGAAAGGACTGCCATGTGGTTATCCTTGGGGGTGTGGAGGGGAACTTTCTCACTTTCTCTCTGTCTCTCTCCCTCTGTCTCTGTCCAGTGGGCACATGCACCATACAGAAAACAAGCCAACAAAAAGATGAAAAGGCAAATAAAACAATTACAAAAGTATTAATTTTCTAAAAGGACGTACACAAAGGATCAAGTTACTTTTCGACAATTCATTTGTAATATACTAGTAATGTTATGGGAGGTCATGGCAAGCCTCTATAGTCTGACAGTTAACCAAGAGAGGTAAAAACAAGTTATTGGATTTCCATAAGCATACAGTTTGTACAGTTTTTTATGAAATTATTTTGTAAGACTTATTTGCTTAATTGTATTTGTCATTACTATTATTATTTTAATTTAGTGCAGGGCACAGGATACAGTGCATTCACCAGAGAAAGACAGAGGGAGAAAGAAAAAAAAAAGAGAGAGAAAGCAAGCCACCAGGTCTAGGATTCGAACCACAGTCAACCACGTGGGAGTCTAGTGCCTTAAACACCACGCATTTGCTGGTTCCCAGTTTGTATAATTTTAATTCTGTGTAGTTTAGACTTTACTTCTTTTTCCCTTCTTTTTAAATGAGCCTTGCTAACTTTGGCCTTGAAAAGACAAGTTACAGGGCCAGCCAGTAGACTCATGGTTAAGAGCAGCAGATCCTACAAGGCCCACCCGACCTGACCTTGAAAATCAAGCCAAGGTGTGTGCCCCACGTGCCCCACATCTGGGCAGATGGAGAAATGCAGATGGATTGCGTGTGGCCACGCCACCCTGGGGGATGTGTTCTCTCTCTCTCTCTCTCTCGTGCATGTGCCCTCTGTGGGGACAAAGTAACCCTATAAAGAATACGGAACTTAAACTAAATACCTGAGCCCCTCTGGAGCGGATGTTAGGGAGAGACTCCACAGCCGCGCACACCGGCCTTCACTCCCAAGGCGGGGACTTCAGGAACAAGGGTACACAGGGAAAGTGACAGGGTCCTCAGGGTCGCCGCGTTTTCATAAGGCACCAATGACCCCAAAGGAATAAGGAGGCCAACGTCTGCAAAGGTGGGGCTGCGGGAAGGGTCCCAGTTCCACTCTCGGGGTTCGCCTTGGGGAGACGCCCCGTTAGCTTCCTGGGCTGGCTTTTTATCAACGAACGCCTTCCACGTCCCAGAACGAGTCTCCTTTCTCCCCGCGCCGCCCAGAGCCCGCCCGGGCCCGCCCCCCGCCCCGAGCCCCTCGGCCGCCGCCGTCGCAGGACAGACCCACCTGGCGACCCAGGCCCTCGTCCCGGCCCGCCTGCGGCCGCCGCTCCCTGAACCGAGCCTGCGCCTCGGTCGCCTTGGTTACCGCGTTGCCACGTCCCCATAGCAACCAGAATGCCTCGTCCTGCCTGTGTCTGCCGGCAGAGGGAGCAGGGGAGCCCCGCGGGAGGAAGAAGCGAGAAAGGGGCAGCCGCCGGGAAGGGCGGGAGAGCCTTCTATGTACTATTTGATATATCCTCACAACAACCCAATTTTTGTCCAAGAAGATTAGACTCATAAAATGTAACAAATGTTGCCCAGAATTACGAAGCTACCAAGGACCCACCCAGAGAATGAATCCAAGCGGCTCAGCCTTGGAACTCTCCCACATAGGCTGTTCAGTGGCTTACCCAAGGTTCCGGGAAGCACGGTCCAGGACTCTCTGCTTCATACCAAAACCATGACCCAGGAGGACGTGTGGGATAAAAGGTATTTATTGTGTGTATGTAACAACAACAAAATGCTCACACAGATGTGAACCCATGCTTCTCAGGCATTTCTGTTCAGAGCGAAGGAAAGAGGTCTGCGGTGGGCTTAGTTCTGTTTCTGGCTTCCTAAATATGCTGTTTTTATCTCTGTATTTAGAGCTGGAAGTAGGGCTGTGGCTGGTTGTGCAGTCAGTCACTCTCTCTGTGCTTAACCACACTGCATATCTCTCAGGACGGCTAATAATCCTAAAGCGTTGTGGTTATTAGTCTGGGTTTTGGAATTAGTCAGACCTGAGTTTTTGCCCTGGTCCTGCCATACGTATCTTCTGTATGACCTTGAATCAGTTATTAAACACAGTCTAGGGACAAGCAGATGGCATAGCAGTTATGTAGCTGAACTCTCACATGGCCGACAGTGGTTTGAGCCCCAGACCCAGTAGCTTCAAAATCACACGGAGCCCACGTGTGTGTGTGTGTGTGTGTGTGTGTGTGTGTGTGTGTACACAAGATCCGAGGAGGAGAATGAAAGAGAAGGGATTGCGGCATGGCTATCCCGCTTTGGGGGAGGGGGTGCGAGTTCTTGTTTTCTGTCTCTCTGTCTCTCCGGTGAGCACATGCACCCTATAGCAAAAATCTACCTCTAAAAAAGAGAGAGAGAGAGAAGAGACCAGCACATGGCATAATGGTTATGTTGCTGGACTCCTACGTTGTTGAGCAGGTGTCCAAAGCAGGTCATTACTTAGAAACTACCCTCCCCATCCACTGGGGACCTCGTACTCCAATTTCCCTTAATGTAGGTGATACATTCTTCTCATACCTTTGCTAACTGAACCCCTAGGTAATAAGTGACTATTCTTTCCGTAGGGTCTCAGTGGTCTTCCTGAATATTGCATACCCTTCATATAATTTGTATCTAATATATAAATAATATCTGTTTTTTTAAATTAAATAATTCCAGGAGTTGGTGTAATAACTCAGCAGTTAAGGGAACTGGATCCCACATGGCCAACCATGGTTTGAATCGTGGTGGTTCAAATGCTAGCTCCAAAGACTTGAAGGATTGCATCATGACCATGCTCTTATTGTTCTCAGTGATTCCTCTCTCCCTCTCTCTCTCTCTCTCTCTTCTCTCTCTCTTTCTCTCTGGCAAGCACATGCACCCTCTGGCAATTAAAAAAATAATTACAAAGGTGCTGGTTTTATTGACCTCTACAATATTTACCAGTTTTTTTTTTTCTAACCTAGAGATTGCTTACCAATATTTCTTCTCACGTCTACTTTTTTTTTTTTAATGAGAGAGATTTTTTGCTATAGAGTGTGTGTACTCCTCAGAGAGACAGAAAGTAAGGAAATAACCCCGCTGGGTGTGTGTGCTCGTCAGAGAGACAGAAAGTAAGGAAATAACCCTGCTGGATGGGGATGGCCATGTAGCAATCCCCTCTCCTCCATTCTACTCTCAGGATTTTGGTCACAGATGCAAATGTGCCCAGCATGAATTTCAAGCCACTGGGTCAAGGACTCAAATCACAGTCAGCCACATGAAATCCAGTTCCTCAACCATTATTCCGTCTGCTGACCCCCTCAATGCCTACATTTTAATGAACCCAATCAATTTTCTTTGAGTCTACTTTACCATTGTGATGGTTTGTTCCTAAATAAGCCATGGCGATGTACAGTCTACATTTTTGGATGTATTATGTTTTTATTGAGATTATATTTTGATAGAACTGAGCCTTCCCCTTTGGAGAGATATAGGACAAATAGCTTACCAACAACTTTCTTTTTTCTTCTTCTTTTTTTTTCTTTTTTTGTTTGCTTGTGTTTTAGAGAGAAAGTTTTGCTACTGGGCATTTGCACTCACCAGAGAGAAAGAGAGTGAGAAATCACCCTCCCCGGGGAGGCTGGCCATGACCCAATCCCTTCCCTAACATTCTCTTCTTGAGATTTTGGGTAGGCACACACACACAAGTGCCTGGTGTGTTTTAAACTGTCAGGTCCAGGATTTGAACCGTGGTCGCCTACTTGTGTGTTTTAAACTGTCAGGTCCAGGATTTGAACTGTGGTCGCCTACTTGTGAGTCCAGTGGCTTAACCATTATGCCATCTGCTGGTCCCTCAACAGCTTTTTCCATCTACTCTTTTGTCCATCATACTCTTTTATAGGCAGAAGTTGGTTGTGAGTCAGGACTGCAAAACTAGTTTTCTCTTTTTTTACAAGTTCTTCAGTGTGGTCTTACTTCAACACTGAGTATGTGCTTTCTTCATGCCTTGGCAGATACTAAATATAACATCTTATTACATATGTATGATTTTTTTGCAACCTGTCAAGGATAACTGAACTTCAGAGGCAACATGAAATTATGAAAAAGATTTCTCAAAAACCTAAATTACTCTGATATAAATATATCTAAATGCTGCTGAATGGCTAAACTTCAAGAATGAAAAAGAAGAAACTTATACTTAGGAGGTGACGTTGTCCTTTTATAATTTTTCTCAGCATTGTAATTTCTGGCTGTCACCCATGACAAAGAATTCTTCAGCAAATAAATTTCTATAACACAGGCAATTATTGCAGATGTTTCACAAGTGCTGACAAATCATCAGCACATGTGATAAGTTTTCAATTCCTACAAGGTGTAATGTCTTCCTAGTTGAAAAATAAATGTATAGGCTTGTTGAAAGGGCATGGTTCCCTTAATCAACATTTACTTCATGCTTGTTTTATTCCAATGGATGCAAAGATGAACAAGGACATCATTTTGCCCTTAAGGAATTAAACTTCACAAAGTGTTAAAGGAAGGGGCCCTAGAACTAGTGCCTGAAGTTTGTGCTGCCAATACCAATATCCCTATATGCAAAATTATTTGAATTGTTCATGAAAATGAGTCCAGGGAGATGAAAATAGAACTTACATGATGATATCTTTAGAAACTCAATGGTAAAGAGAACATTTTCTTTGAATATAAATAGCACTTTTTTTTTTCATTTTAAACCACAACCTCTAATTTAACACAAGATTAGTATTTTGTGTTCTGTCCAAAGATTGATGAACAACCACATTGGACACCAGTAATCCCACTCATCATTCTGCCTTTGCCTGGTTACAATTTGTGATTCTTGACAGCCATGTTTGAGTTCATAATCCAGTCCACTCTCTTAGTGGTTATTCGGACAGGAGTCCAAACTAGATACGGTTCTCTTTTGTGAGAATGTGTAATTGAGATGGAAAAAGAAACTCTTGGGGGTAGAAATATGCTGTCTTGTAGACAATAGAAATAAAAAAGGAAGAAAGAATAAAAGAAAGGACAGAAGCAAGGAGGAAGAAAAGGAAGCAAATATGAGAGATGAATTTTTCTGGAAACTTTTCCTCTTGTGAGGGCAAACTACATCTTACATAATACACTTATATTCTTAAAATAAATTTTGGTTTTGTTACTTACAGTAGAATTTTTTTTAATCTTTTTTCCAGCTGTATGAAGGAAAGAAACTTGACTAAAATAACTACCAGAAGAGTAAAATAAAAAATAACGTTTTTTTATGAAGCAAGTCCAAAGTATAGATCCCCAGAGAACACTTTTAAATAACTGTAAACCACTAATCTTTGACTTTCAAAACTTTAAATTAATATTCCTGCATAGACATAGATAGGAAAGTTAGTCTGGCATGTTTCTCAAATCATTTCTTCAAAGAAAAGCTAAAATTTCTTGTTTATTTTTTAATCAGTTTAATTTCTTAGTTTATTTGTTTTAAGTTTACCCGTGCCAGTTTTGCTAGCAGACAATTCATTATAATTGATGTAGCTTTAGGGAAAAGCTAATCTTAAAAAGAAAAAGAGCTGGCATTCCAGAGAAAGTCATTCATTTCTGATCTTTGCCAAGATTTAATAAGTGTATCTTACTGTCTTCTTGAGATTTATGCACTGTTAGCTGTACTTCATTTGGAAAATTTGCATTTTTCTTCTACGCACTCAAGCTGGGAGGCACAAAACAAGAGTTACAAGGTTTGTTTGACACAAGATGTCTAATAGTAATTTTCTTTCATCAACTTTATTCTTCTACTGTTCTAATCCCCAAGGGCAGATTTTTCATTAGATTTTGTGAAGCATTTTACAATTGCAGACTTACCTTTGCAGAAGCTACTCCCAAAGCATTCTGAAGAAGCTGTCACAACTCTCTCCACCATAGAGGAAACTAGAGTTGTCACCTATCTGAGTACCTATCATTGCATTAATTAATTTATAAAAGTATTATGCATCTAATATACCTAGTTTTAGTGAAGGGGATACTCATTAAGATATATTTACCAAAAACTTATTGAGGGCATACTATGTTCCAGGTATTCTGAATGAAAATGACTATAATCATGAACAAGACAGATTTGTATTTTACACTTGTGGAAAATATGACCTAGATAGGGGATACAGGCAAGAATTCAGATAATGACTATTAAAACAGTGAGAACATGATCGGATGGATGAAAGACACTAACCCACCCTCTAGAGCTCAAGAAAGACGTCTTGGCATAATTGTATCCTATCTAGGTTTAACCAAGTTGGTTAAGCAGAAGAGTCATTTGTGGGATGGTGAAAGTAGAGGGTGTTCTGGGAAGGAAAATAAAAGCCAAAGAAAACCTGCCTTCAAAAAGTGAGAATATGGTAAAATCAGAAAATATAAACATTTCTAGCCACTGAAATATGCAAAGGGTTTAGAAGAGGTGGAAAAAAGGAAAGAAGTAGAAGGAGGTCATACAACTCTGGCAAGAGGAGACAGATCAAGAAGGCATTCCCTACTTTCTCCTTTGAATCTCACTAGCTTACATGAGATGCTAGTGCACCGGGTCAAAGCAGAGGTGCCAAAGCTGAAGGAAAGGGAAGGAGCCATTATTCATAAACAAACACTGTATCAATGAACCTGGAGGTGATTTGATGAGTGACTAGGAAAGACGGATCACTCCCAATATTAATGGAACTGAAGACAGATCAAAGTTGATGCATATGCTGATG